ACCGCAAATTTCGCATTTGACACAATTCTTGTCATAAGCGAAGATGCCAATGATGACGTATTGTTGACACTTGATGTAGATTCTTCTTGTTTATTGTCTCCCATCTTTGACACAAATATTATTTAATAGCTGACGATACAAATCAAGATTATTTCCTTTCTGGTGTGGAAGATCAGACTAAGTTGCAACCACAGAGCCTACTCAGACAGAACCTTGACTCAGTTACCAAGATAAATCTTTTCTGATGTGGAAGATCAGACTATGCTGCAACCACAGAGCATACTTAGACAGTACCTTGGCTCTGATACCAATTGTTGCGGAAGCCAAATGTATATAGTGTGAATAAGTCACAACTACTATACCAAAAATTATGACAGCCACCAAATAATAAATAAGACAATAAAACAACAATAAAGGGAACACCAGAATTTACGAGGTTCGGCTAATTTTGCCTACTCCTCGGACACAACCAATATTTTTATTTCACTCCAAAAATACAAGTGAAATAATACTAAAGAGAGAAATACAAATGCCTTAAACAGATGAGAAGGCAAATGAGAGGTGTATTTAAATCTTAAACATTAAGCCTTCTTTTATAGGGGAAAATCCCCCCAACCATTCTTTTCCCACCGATGTGGGACAAAAGATTTCTGCCAAACTTAACAGTTACAATATGCTGCAACTCGGGTTTCTCCTCTTTGTTCTTGGCACTAACCTGTTCACATTTAGTACTAGCTTCCAGCGTTCCACGTCGTTACACATGTACACATTATTAGAAGAACAAATTAATTAGCTCATTTTCCGTCTAAAATTATGTAAATTAACCATAAAAAGATCAACTGGGACTGTTTATCTCTATTAAAAATAGGAATTAACGACAGAAAAATTATGTTTTTTTAGCTCATACAGAAAAATTATATAGCTAAATAGAAAAATTCGTTGCGATCCTACGTTGCGACAAATTATCAAAAAATTCTATTAACTACGAGCATTTAGTGACGAAGTTCATATATAGCCAATTGCAATTTTTTTAGTAATATACTAGACATTTAGCATGATGAGAATACACAATGCTGGTACCTCCTAGAGGAGGTGTTTCATGCATGTTTTCCTTTTTGGCTATACAATTAAATGTCTCAATGATTATGTTATTTTTCACCGTATAAATTTAAAAAGATAAGTGGAAAAACTTAAGGATTGAGTTTAATAACATGCATGGCAGATGTTTCCCCCTTATTATCAAATATCAATTAATCCTTTTCTGGATTCTTCATTGCTCAGTTACGATCATCATGCCACTCGTTACAGGGGAAGTTATCATAAAGAAACAAAAGAAGAATACCATGTGAAGGGGTCCACTAACCTAGACTTAACTAGTTAGCTTGATAACATATATACTAGCTACTATAACTACACTTTATGTTAATTGCTTAAAATAAATGCCACACAATCATCTTCACTATGTCACTATCGGAAAAAAATTACTGTTATAAGATAAGATCAAATTACCGATAGCAACTTGGAAATGCTGCAGGGGCGCAAGTCAGGGATGGACCCAGTGGCGGAGCTAGGGTGGCGCATCCGAACCCTTTTTATCGAACAATTATCGTTTACATAAGGTCAAAAATATTTTTCCGCATAAAAAGAGTAGATATTGAATCTCTTTGGCATACTCGTGGTTACTTTTTTACTATTTCGAATCCCCTTGATAAATCCTGGTTCCATCACCTAAGATCCGTTAGTGTATTAGTTATGATTCGTTCAAATCTAATAGCTTTAGTTCAAACACTATACATGTGTTAAAAATCTCCTAAATTGTACTCCCTCCGTTCCAGTTTATGTGAACCTATTTCTTTTTTAGTCCGTTTCAAAAAGAGTGACTCCTTTCTAAATTTAGAAATAATTTAGCTTAAACTTCCAATTAACCTTAATGAGAAGCTCTTATAACTACACAAATATTCTGCACACCTTTTTGATTTATTTAGGATCACAAATTCCATAAGTCTTCATTTTTTCTTAAACTTCGTGCTAAGTCAAACAAGTTGACATAAATTGGAACGAAGGGAGTATTATAAAGATAGATTTCGAACCAAGTGAATCAAATGGAATGTTGTAGAATTTGAACTTGAATCCATAAAGTTCTAGCTAGTACGTGCTCCAAGGGGCATCATATTCTTACAATGTTTGGTTTTAATTAGCTCATATATATGTTCAAGGAACTAGCCATTTTTGTAGCAATATTAGACTTAGCTAACCTTGTTACGGGCTAATCTTGAAATTGTGTTTCCGGATTATGATTGGGAAAATGATACTGAATAGTCGCTCTCAAAATAATAGCCGAAAAATATATATTCTTCTGTATGTATATATATATATATATATATATATATATATATATATATATAAGATACATATTTTGTTACACTTTTGCGACTATCCAATGTAAATAGTTTCGGCTGCGTGCAGGCTAAAAGTGATCTTTGTTTGATTCAACTTTAAGCTTATGTATATGCGAGAAAAGTGAAAATCAAACCTGGACCCAAACTTGGCAATTGGCATGCTCAAGGATAGTTGGGGTAGCCATTCAATTGATAAAAAACAATAAGAGAGAGTGAAATATACAAGTCTAGACCACGATTAGCACAAAATCTATAGAAGCAAAAATGTCAGTGATCAAGCGCACCCATACACATACGAACTTAATCGTTCACTCTTAATTAGCACAGAAAAATGATTTTAAATCGAGTTTAGGTTGTATATACTCCCTCTCCGTTAAGAATGACCCCTTTCTAAATTTGGAAACAATTTAGCTTAAACTTACAATTTTACCCTTAATGAGAAGCTTTTATAACCATACAAATAATCTGGGTCCCCTTTTTAACTTGTTTAGGACCACAAATTTCAAAAGTTTTCATTTTTTCTTAAACTCTGTGCCCAGTCAAGCAGGTTAACATAAATTGGAACGCAGGGAGTATTAACAATACTCTAGCTACCAGTGCAATTTAACGAGGAATTACATAGTGTTGTAGGTCAATTATGTAAAATAGAGAGGGCTTTCATTATGAGAAAAAGACTAGTCTTAGTGATAGATGTACTAACTGCTGGAAGAAACTTAGACAGCTAAAATTGAAATGGATCTTTGCTTTTTAGCATGCAGAAGAAAGTGAGGAAAGTACAAAGCATTATCACGTTTATGATTTTCCCTAACAAAGAAAAACAACCAACAGAGAAAAAGTTGCTTTTTGATTGCCATGCACACCTTGATTTCACTCTCATGCATTATTCACTCTTAATAAAAAAAAAATCATAAGCCAAAAAACATGAAAAACGAAAACTGGGGCCACATTGTCCCCGTGAATGCAAAAAATCTTTTTCACTTTTAGCCACTTGAAATTGATTTTACATTCCCCTTTTGGACCCATTAGATTAATGGATGTATTCTACGTTACAACTAAGAAAATTTTGAAAGCAAAATATTAAAGTTACACCAAGAAGGTACAGATAAGGAACAACTTTTCTTGGAATAATTTCCCCTATTCATTTTGTGTCTTGATGTTGAATTAAATCAAATCATAGCCCATTGAAATATTAGATAATTATTATAATATTATTTGGCTTAATATTCAGGTGGGAGATCAATATAATTAACTGCTTACCTAATGACAACATCAAATGTCTCTAAAAGAGAGTTAATTTCTAACATATTTCTCCGAGCTGGACTACTAATTTTGTATATTAAACTAAGATTTCTTGCCCGTGATAAATCTATATCTCTGAAAGAAACATTAATTTCTAACAAATTTTCCGATCTGGACTGCTCATTTTGTGTATTAAAACTTAAATTTCTTATCCACAAAAAAGTACATGCTTAGTTGTAATTATGATTTAGCAGAAAAAAACATGTTGCTTTCACATATTTTTCCCTGGTTTTAGCAGTAGAAAAAAAAAAAAAAAGAATCCTAACAGGCCCACCATACTTTTGTCTATTTGTGTCTCTCCATTGGTATATATATAGAGTATCCATGTTAACCTTTTTTGTACCAAAACATCATCTACTCTCCTTTATCATTCTAGTGTGGCCTTAAATTTCCTTGTTGTTGCAAAAATGGCCTCGAATTCAACATGGACTCCTCAGCAAAACAAGAAATTTGAGAATGCATTGGCCATTTATGACAAAGACACACCAGATCGGTGGCGTAATTTGGCTAAGGCAGTTGGTGGTGGTAAGACAGAAGAAGACGTGAAAACTCACTATGAAAAACTTGTGGAAGATATCAAACGCATTGAGTCTGGTCAAGTTCCTTTGCCTAAATACAATAAGCCAAATGGTGGCCATAACAACAAAGGCTACATGTTCAACGATGAAGAACAAAGGTAAAATAACACTACATTAGTCGTTTGGGTAATCAGTCTTTTGTTTCAAAATATTTGATGTTTTAGAAAAACGATAAAAAATCATTTATTACATTTTTTATCCTAGAGCCCGTTTGGCTTAGCTGATTTAGAGTAGTTGATAATCATTAGCTGCTGAAAAGCACTTTTAAGTGCTGAAACTGATTTAAAAAATAAGCAGTTACGTGTTTGGATAAAAGTGCTGAAATTAATAATAAGCAGTTGAAGAACTAGGTATATGAAGAGTTTTGTTTAAAAAGAATTATTTTAGGGATATAATAGTAAATATTTTGGTCAAACCTAAAGTGCTTATAAGCTAAAATTTGATAAGTTGGGGGAGACCAAGTTATGGTTTTTTGCTTATTTTTGGCTTATAAGCACTTAACTTATAAGCACTTTTAATTTTACCAAACACGTAGATAAACCAAAAAATGCTTATAAGTCAGTTTGACCAACTTATAAGCTTAGTCAAACACCCTCCTAATATATTCTTGTGACTCCAATTAATGGAGTGTTCACTCGATCAGTTAACTGTTTATACATATACTCTTAATACTAATCTATTAAACGTCTTTTTTATTTATTTATAAAGGAATGTCAAAAAACTATAAAACGGGAAGTAAAAATTCCATTGATTTTAATTCGACTATTAATCATCTTGTTCTAGATATATACTGCTAGCTGTATTTGCACTAACCTTCCACATTTTACTGATTCTTCAGTATCCAGAGAATCAAATACTTTTTAAACTATTTCGATAAGCTAAGCACGTGAAAGGATTTTGACAATATCCATTTGCCTTGTATAATGAATTAGAGATTGAATTTTTTGCAATAAACTGTATAAAAATATTTACACAATCGAGTTATTTATAAGAAATTATAAGTAAATCTTTATAATTAACCTGATAAAAAATAGTAATAATTAATTTACAATTATATGTTAATCTTTTACATTTAGTACATACTAGTTTTAGCATACGCGCGTTGCGCGTGTCCCTCGTGTTAATGAAAAATAAAATTTTATAAATAAAATAAATAATATTCAAAATTATGTTTACGTTATTATATAAAATTAAGAGTAGTTCTTCCTTAGGAGTTTGATCTAGTCTAATAGTTCTTCC